TTTTTCTGCTGCATTACCTCACTTTCTATCTTACAAAGTCCATCCCCTATAAAGTTCCTGTGTAGGTTCATTTGGATTTGTTTTCTCTTGAAGTTTCATTTTTAAGTTTAATATTTTATTTTTCATGAGAAATTGCCACCAATCTCATCAAGAAATTCCTCATGGCATTCTTCACTTCCTTATTCCTCAAAGTATAAATCAAAGGATTGAGCAGAGGAGTGACGGTGGTGGAAAATATAGCCACCATCTTTTCAAAGGAGAAACCTGAGGTTGGCTGTGCATACACAACTATGCATGGGACAAAGAACAAAATCACGACAGTAATGTGAGATCCACAGGTGGAGAGAGCTTTCCGGCGACCTTCAGAGCTACATGTTCTCAGTGAGTATAAGATGATACAATAGGAGATAAGCAACAAGGACAAGTTTATGATGCAGATGAACCCACTATTAGCAACCACCAACAGGCGAACAACATGAGTGTCAGTGCAGACAAGCTCTAATAATGGGTACAAATCACACATAAAGTGGTCAATGATATTGGGACCACAGAAGGGCAGCTGGAAAGTAAAGAGAATTTGTATCACAGCATGCAAGAAGCCCCCTGTCCAGGCTACCCCCATCAGAATGCCACAAAGCCTCCAGTTCATGATAGAGGTGTAGTGCAAGGGCCTGCAAATAGCCACATAGCGGTCATAGGCCATGGTGGTGAGGACGATCACCTCCACTCCAGCAAAGAAGTGTTCAGCAAAGAGCTGAGTCATGCAGCCCTTGAAGGAGATGGTTTTTCTCTCATAGAGTGAGTCCACAATCATCTTTGGGGCAATAACGGAGGAGAAGCTTGCATCCAGGAAGGACAGAAAAGCCAGAAAGAAGTACATGGGGGAGCCCAGGAGTGCCAGGGTGCTGATGATGGTCACAACAACCAGCAAGTTGCACCCAACAGTTGCAATGTAGCCAAATAAAAATACAACAAATACTATTTTCTGAACATTTGGATTCTGTGAAAGCCCCAAGAGGACAAACTCGGTTACAAAGCTTTGGTTTTGCATGATTTCAGAAGAAAAAATGAAAATTACCAAAGTGACTATGTAGAATCTGAAATTATGAGAAAGAGATATTTGCTTTCAGAACAGTTTGTAGTAGTAGCACAGTCAACGATAAGTTGGTGCATCCACAAGCAGCTATTTTAAATGTTCTTCTGGTTGTTGAGAACACAAAATTAGAGATTTTTTGACTGTCAAAAATGAAGCATCAGGCAGAATCGATATTAAATACTTTAAAATAGAATTTCAATATAGCAGAAGGAAAATATTAATATATGGTGCTGATAAAAAATATATTTTATCCTAGATGCCAACTCTGATTAGTTAGTAGTGGCTACCTAGAATGAAGTGATGAGAAGGATTCTGAAGCACATCGAAGCTCTGAGGAAAGACAGACTAGAATGAATTAGTCATGCCTGCCACTGGAATGGCACTGGAACCAGGATTACTTGCATGGGAAATACTTCTCTCATCAGGAGACTGCCTTATCTAAAAATAGAAGAATAGATAACAAGAATGTTAAGAGGCTCTGGAAATCATGCCTACCTCCCAAATATCTCTTTAAAATTTGAGCTTGGTAAGGCATTTGGCTTCTAACCAGAAGGCTGGTAATTCAAACCCACCATCTGCTGTGCAGGAAGAAAATGATGCACTCTACTTCCATTAGGATTTACAGCCCTGAAAACCCAAAGGGGATCACTATGGGTCAGAATTGACCCTGTGACAGTGGGTTTGGTTTTTATTAAAAATAAAGGTCTATGGAAAAGTGCATTCTTAGCTAATAATACAAATACATTGAGTGTTTATTATCTTTCTTTTATTCATCATTTTAAAATGAAAAGAGAAGCTGATAAAACTAATAATATCTACTTCAGTACTGTGCTGATTATTCAGTGAAAGAATGCAAGGAAATAATTGTTCAGTACCTAGTGTCTAGGATACAGTTCTTGTCAGTTCTTATTATTCCTATTTTGCTGGTAATAAACTCAACTTT